GGCAAATAGATGCAAATAAATGACACTTAGTGGCTTAGTGTGATGTGATGTTGCAGGTGATCCAGCTGATGAAGGCCTTGTCGCATTGCCATAAGCAGGGCGCTCATGCATCGTGCGCTGCTTCCATTATCTCCATGTTCGTGCGTCTATGTGCGACCCAAAGTTTGGGATTCTGCGCAGAGATGTGAAGCCACCCAGATTGTTGGTAGAACACGCGGCTCCTCAGCCTCTGGAGCACCTCACCTTGGAATGATGAGGGGAGAAGTCAAAAGCAGAGAAGCCAACGTTTTGGATTTGTCAGTTTGCAGCTTTTTAAGGTTTCAAAAAACCTTACGGTAAAGTCTGGTCACTTTTGGCACATTTTGGCGCCAACCATCCAAGAGGAGTGTCAGCAACAACAGCTGAGGCTGACTTCGCCTGTTCCACCTTTGAACCCCAAAGCGCACTAGTCCCACTGGTTCCAGCCCAAATCGCCTAAACTTACACCATGCGATCTGCAAAGAAGGTGCTCAAGGTTAGGTAGCATTCCTGCCGCCAACGCCCACGAAGGTACTTAGAAGTATTTCAGCCCAGAGCTTGTGACTGGGCTGTGGTGCTGAGATTGCTTACTTTGATATGCCATGAGATGCCCTAATGCATGTTTGCGCAGCTGGTTGCAAGAGTAGCGCGCGGATCGCAAACCCTATGGTCGTGGTTGGCGCAAGGCTCCACCGACAAAAGCTGCTGACCACTAGGCTGCTGAGGTCAGCCTTGGCGGCTTAAGCTGGGCGATTTCCCCCCCGCCAGGCCCACAGGTCAGGTCTATCAAAGCCTAACTCGTAGCGCTAACAACCTCTATGTTGGATTGGTTTTGCTACGAGGGTCGTGCCCTCGAACTGAGGATGGCTTCCACGCCAACATATGCAGCCGCAAAGGCTTATAGCGACCACCTCTCAAGACACAAAGAGGAGGAAGACTCCGGGCCCAGGGATTGAAAGGGAACAAGCTTCTTGAAATCCTTCAATCTGTTCACTATACTATATGCCCCATTACGATTTGCCACAGAGCCTGGTAATCACCAGGTGATGCCGCGATGCCTGTGGTATGGCCCTGATGAGGGTCAACCACCGGCGTCGTAAAGAGCGCCCGCTCGCGCCCGCCAGTTCCTGCGAGCCTGCGCAAAACGGACTTCCACGACGTCGAGGTGAATGAACTTATGGTAAATAGCGCGAAATAGGCGGACACAGACGCGAGCGCCTCGATCAGACACCCGTCCTTAGTGATTACCGTGCGAGCCCCTGTAGTGCTACCACACAAAAGGGCATGTAGCTCATTGCGAATTAGGTGTTCATTGAATGCACGCTTCTGTGTGTGCAGCTTCGCAATAAAGTTTCTTTGGCGGATGTACTGCGCGTGATCCATGCGAATGCCGGACAGCTGCGTCAAGGCCGTGTGTGTTGCAATAGGGGACAAAGTCCGATTCCGCAACTGCACGGGACTCCGCAACTAGGATTCTGCAAGTAGGATTCCACAACTGGGTTCTGCAACTGTATGGAGTCTGCAGCAGCCATGCTTCCGCCGCTACTCTCTTGATTCCGCAACTGTCTGGACTCCGCAACTGGGATTTGAGCAGCAACCGCAGGCCTCAAAAAAACAAAGAAGGCGTGCTGGGGTGGGAATCTCCGTTTTAGAACACCAGCTTCAGAGTACCAGTGCAGAACCCCAGTTGCAGAAATTGACTTTCTAGTTTCAGAACGCGAGCTTCAGAATCGCCTTTTCAGAAAACCAATTCCAAAATACAAAATTTAAGAATCCAAGTTTCAGAACACTAGTTTCCGACCCCCGCTTAATTTGCCAATCCGGCTCTAGCCTTGCAATAGGTCATGGTGAATGTAGTGGCGCTGGGGAACCTACATAGATTCCATGGGTTGAAATGTGCGTTGCGTTGAGAATGCAGCTATAGTGTTGGCTGGAAGGCTAGGCTTCAGCCTTTGTCAACAGCAAAAAGGTGGACTGTTGCCGTGAACCGCGCTGGGCCTGACACATTGCCAGCGCAAATGTCAGTGCAGCAAACACACATGCCACCATGATTGTCATGCAACATATACATATCAGAAAATATGTTAGTAGTTTTGTCTTGGACACTGTCAGTGTTTGAACGGGATAGACGTGTCAGCGCATTCCTTTCAAGTCGTGTGTAAGTAAGCGTCCATTATTAAAAGTTTGTCGCCCCATAGGTCAGGGACCATGTCAGCCTATGCATCAGTCCAGTATGTCATTGCATTTTGTCAGTAGAAACATGTCTGCGGGTTCATCTTGGCTACATATGTCCGTCGCTTCCTCCCAGTTGCCAAGGGCAACCCATCAACTCACATAATAAGTTCGTTCCATTTCAGAGCGGGGATCATTCGACGCAGCGTAGTTTGGATCTGGTCACATATTTCTTGGATATTGGATTTTTCCGGTGCGCAGATAGTGGTGGATCAGCGATCACAGCGCTGCGAGCGTGTGGGACCCAGACATCGAATCAAAAAAGTTTGGCCGAAGAGTGACTATTTAATGATGCCCAAGTGGTTTTCATATCGACGCTGTTATCATGAATCACGTCGAAAGTGTGTCTTATTTTCCTCAGGTTTCGTATGCTCCGGATCTTCAAACTCGCCAAAAAGTTCCCTTCCATGAAGGCCTGTAAAGCTTGCGGCTCGTGACGTACACAACCTGGGAACCGCCCTGGCCATGGTAATCCGCGCTGTACTGCGCCCTTGCTTATGACATTTTATCTTAGTCAGAACTTACTTGCAGCCCCCCGAATGCCGAAAAAGGAAAAATAACATATCAACAACCTTCTCACGTCACGAAGGGCGCGGGCCCTTTTGTGGGTGACAGGCTCTTTGAACACTTGAACTCAACTCTTCTGTTTGCTGCCAGATCTTGCTCAGCGCCGGTGTTCAAACACTGATGTCCATGGGAGACTTTGTGGCACTGCACGGGGCCAAACACTTCGACACGTGGAGACGTGAATTTGTTTGACTAGCTTCTTGTTACTAGAAGCGATGCACTTGTTCCTAGTAGCGATGCACTTGTTACTAGTAGCGATCTTGTTAAAATCATTTGCGAGGCTCTTCCTGATCATTTGCGTGTTCGCCTTGATGGCTCAGAGTTTCTTTGGTGGCACCTTCATGTTTGATCCGGACGATGGCAGCTTGGTGGCTCCTGAGGACTGCCCGCGATCCAAACAGCCGTCCTGTAATCATAGTCGTTTGCTTTTCTTCTCGACATTTCATGGCTCGCTTTGTGTCCAAAACCATCTGCCTTGCATCAAACACTTGTGGGGCCAAACCTTTGCTACATGACGCCGGCACGCATGAATTGTATTTAACATTATTTCACATTATCTCATGCATCTCGAAGTTTGCTTCGCAACACGGAGTGCTGGGCAAGCGTTTTCCCTGGGCGCGGTAGCCATTGTGCTGGTAAACGTTTTCCGAAGGCAAAACAGAAAAACAAACACATTAATACAGGAGGTTATCCCTGTTCAAATTGCAAAGAAAGCAAACCGGTATGCTGGGCTGAAGTTGGTTTCTGGGCGGGCAAAGTGGTCAAAACCCTGGAGACTCTTTTTTGAATGCAGACGATGCTGGTTTCTTTGAGTGAGAACAGTTCAAAGAGCTAGCAATACTTTTCAGACCGAGTTTTGAGATGAAACCATCAAGTGAAGCGGGGCAACCCTTCTTCACCTTCTGCAGCACTCACCCAAGTACGGATTATAAGACTTGTTCCAGACCATTTTGCTGAGAAGGGCCCCTACACTAAGAATAAAGAGAGGGCCTGGATAAAGGAGGTTGGATCAGACACCTTCCACAAAAAAGGCGACCGCAAAACTCATATGCTTTTGGGACAACAAGGTTTGATTTCGATGCTCATCGTCATGCAACATTGCCGGCTTAAAACATAAATTAATGCATCTTTTGAGTGTTGTCATCGTTTGTGTTTAAAGGCATATTCAATGCTAGGCCGTTTCAAGTCACACCCAAAACATAATTGTATTTCATCATTTTTATCCTCAGCCCCATTGATATTTGTACTTCGTCAATCGCACTTGCTCCTCAGCACTCGATTGTATTCTGGCTTTCTCTCCTCCCTTCTCAGGTTCATTCCTTTGTACACATGCCAATTCATCCCATCCTGCTGCGTCCAGGTACCTCGTAGCGACTAGCCCCCCAAAAGAAAGGAACCTAATAGTGATGGCCTCCAACCTAGAAAAAGGAACCTACCTTACGGCTACTTATAGCTACCTCTACTCTTAGTGGTCTTATATACATAATATACATATATTATAGAACATTCATATTATGAGTGAGTTCTAGGACCTCAATCGGTCGATGGTCAAATAAGGCTCAGCATTTGAGACTGAAGCTTCATGCTTGCGCGTTGTCGTCACCGTTGGTTTTCGACGTCGTTTTCCTTTCCTCCCCACTTTGGTTCACTGGACCAAAACCAACTCAAGTCACCACTCAGTTGGGATTGTGTGCCACCTTCAGCTACCTGAGTTCTCCTTGCTTTAGCAAAATGAGGCAAAATGCTGCATCGGCCGAGGAGCCTCCCTGGATCAAATCCTCCTGGTCCGTGGGTTTGCGGGTTGATCTATCCTTTTTGTCCGACTTTGTCCTTCTCATTTTCAACTGCCTCTTCTTCATGAGTTTATCCGCCTCCCCTGCTACCTTTTGTTGACCCGCTTTGTCCAACGCGAAATGCAGTCACGTAGTCTCAGACAGATGCTGAAGTGAATGTGTATAAAACTCCAGTGCAGAGGAGGCCATCGCTAGCCGCTAGTAGGTTGGAGGCCGCTTCTAGTTGGACAGCTTCGCTGACAGCGACGCTACGAACGGGGCTCTTGGCATCGCTACTACGAATAACAAAGGGCCCTACTACTAGGAACAAGGACGCTACTAGGGGCTCCTGGCCTTACTACTAGGAGCAAGGACGCTACTAGGAGCAAAGGGCATCGCTACTAGGAACAAGTGCATCGCTACTAGAAGCAGGACTATCGCGAAAAATGTCCCTTTGGTGACGGTGACAAGCCCATCTGCGCCGCTCAGCTCAATCGGCGAACATATCAAGATCAAATAAATTTCAGATGAACCGGAAGCATATTCAAGTTGGTTAAACATGTGTCCCACTACAGCATGATCAGGGATATAACATGTTGATAGATTTGATGCACTCAAACGAGGTTCCCAGGTCCCACTTCGACACCTTCCTTTGGAGCTTCATCACGATCTTTCAAATTCTGACAGGTTCGGGAAGAAGAGCAGAATGAGATAACATGAGATGGAATGAGATAGAATGAAGAAACATGAATGAATCTGACGAAAGGAGGAAGCTTCAAGAGCATTTGACGAAGATTTTGATTCTGAGAAACGATTCTTACACTCAGTTGAGATGCTGCGCTATCAATTGGAGGCCATCGCTACTAGGAGCGATAGGACGCTACGAACGGAACAAAGGGTTGGAGGCCTCCCTTAGTAGCAAGAATGCCCCTAGTAGCGTCCTTGTTCCTAGTAGCGATGCCAGGAGCCCCTAGCTTCCTACCCCCGCGCGCGCGCGCGAAAAGGTCCTAGTAGATTTCTTTGTTAATTTGAATTAGAACTTAAATTACTAATTCTAGTTTCTACTAGCTTCTTGTTACTAGTACCAGGAGCCCCGTCCTTTAGGTGAAAATTGGAATACGGTGATGTATGATGGGATGCGTGCGACTGGATGGCCCACACCTCAGACCACCTGAAACGACGATGCCAAACCGGTGTGTCGTTGTGAGGATTTCCGTTTTCTTCTTCCTCATGGTTGCTTGGTGAAACCTGGAAAGACTTTATTGGCTTCTTGAAGTTGACTTGTTTCAATTTGTGAATCCTTTGAAATCCATTATGTTTCAATTTACATTTTTTTTCCTGGTGGAATTCTTTTGTTGAAATCCAGTTTGTTGTTTCAGGTGGTGCTGTTTGGGAACTTTGTAATTCTGAACCTTTTCCTCGCGATTTTGATGAGCAGCTTTGACGAGCAGAGAAGCAAACTTCATGAAGCCATGGAAAGCAAGCGGGAGCTCTCGAGGGTTGGGTGCCCAGAATGCGCTGAAAGTGACGAAATTGGACGAAGAAAAGGCTTTCTGAGAAAGATGAAGAGTGACAGAAAAAGATCCTGGTCTAATAGAATTCAAAGGTTAAAGAGGGAGAGCTCCCTTTAAGAGCTCCCTTTAATACAAGAATCCTTCGCCTGACCTCTCAGTGTCCAGTTGCTAGCAGCTTTCCGACTATGATAGCTGTCTGGTTCGCTTCTCAGCTTACCATCTTTTACGCAGCCTTCATGACCCATCCCCAGTAACAGGTGCATCGCTAGTAGTAACAGGTGCCTTACTAGTAGTAACAAGAAGCTACTAGTAACAATAAGCTATTAGTAACAAGGGCATCGCTACTAGGAGCAAGAATCTGAATTCGGGGAGGCTTCATGGCTTCTTGAAGCTCCGAACGCAGCTAGGACGCCGTAGAACCAACGAAATGATGTCGAACTTGAGAACGATGAACGCTTGTAAGTTGCCTTAAACCCCTTGTAAGTTGTAGAAAGAGGGCAGAAGTGAAAGGTACGAGTGCGAATCACCTCTAGTGAGTGTCAGCATGCATTCTCAGACTCGAAAGTGCATGGAGGCCATCGCTAGAAGGTTCTATTTGTTTATTCCTAGTAGTAACAGGTGCCTTACTAGTAATAACAAGAAGCTAGTAGAAACAAGTGCCTTACTAGTAGTAACAGGTGCCTTACTGGCGCTTTCGCCTTAGCACAACACGTCCAGGCCACTCAAGTCGACCAACGCTGGGCGTGGGACAGTGGAGCCACTTGTCCAGACAGGAAGGAAGAAAGAAGACAACGAGAAGAACAAATAAGACGATGAAACAATATAAAAAAATAACAGGTAAGGAGAATAGAGTGAAACATAATCCTTGCAGTTCTTTTTTGTTATTCTTTTTGGTCATGGTTGAGGAAAGAAGAGGAGCTTTTTTGAACCCTTCGCCCTTCTGTATCCTTAAGCAGCTACTGAATTTACAAGCAAGCTTAGCTTACCTACATCTTACCCACCTCTACCTCCGCCAGGTCATTTCTCATGCTCCAAAAAGGAGGCAGAAAAAGGACAAAGAACCAAAGAAACAACATCAAGGTATTCCATGTGTCCAGCGCTAGTTGGCCGGTCTTGAGGGTAAGCACCCCTACTAGGTCTGACTTTTTTGGTTACTACTAGTAAGGCACACTACCAGCGTGGCACTTGTTACTAATAGCTTCTTGTTACTACTAGTAAGGCACCTGTTACTACTAGCGTGGCACTGGACACAGTCTTCATGACTTTTTGGTTTCCACGACAATTGTTTTGGAACTTTGTGTTTTTCATATCGGAGTGCGCTTGATCCTCCCTGAAGAAGAGACTCAGACCCAGGCTTTAGCAGTGATACCAGGTTGAGCACTTAATCCTTTTGGCCGTCCAGCTCACAGCTTCTTGCTCCTAGTAGTACGGCCAGGAGCCCCTAGTAGCATTCTTGCTCCTAGTAGCGATGCCCTTTGTTACTAGTAGCTTAAGTAGCTTCTTGCTCCTTTTTTTCTTTGTGCCTTCGCCCTCAGAGCTCAATTCCGTGAAGCGAGTCGACCAAATTCTGAGGTCGAGCTCAGGCTGGCTTGTTGCTGTTGTGTGGTCACATCTCTTCGTCTCCCGTGACAGGCTGGTGTTTCGCCCCGTTCAGTCTGGACTTTAGATTCGCACCATGGACACTTACACTTGTTACTAATAGCTTCTTGTTACTAGTAGCGATGCACTTGTTTCTAATAGCAAACATTGTTA